GTATAGCAAATTGCCTGACTCCGGTTCGGTTTCCGAGATGTGTTCTACCAGCGGAAATTGTCCGGGATCATCTTTTGGGCGAACAAGCTGCGCCATTTTTGCAAAGATTTGGTTAGAGTTAGGCCGAAGGACGGCAGGCGAATGTTGGCAATGAGAAGACAAGGCAGGGAGACTGTGTGGGATGGTGGGCTTCGTCGTCTGAATCGTCTAATCAGATCGTTCGAGAATATCTTTCTCTGCGAAGCCAATTACATCCGGTTATTCGTTGACAAAACCCGGTGGAAGAAGCAGCAGTCGTATTTAAGGCGGAAACAGTGGTGGCGGGAGTAGAAATAATGGTGGCAGGGATAGGTTGAGAAAATGAAAAAAATATTATTATTAGTTATAATAGTATTAAGGGCAGGAGTAATGGAGTCGGTAGATTTATTGACGGGAATAGTCGTCGTTATGTTGGCTGTGGACGATGGCATTTGGTTCGTAATGTATCAATAACATTATTTGTTAGACAGATATTAATATTGCTCGTAGCTGAGGACGTCAAGATACGATTGTAAAGAATACGAGAGGTAAATATAATAATAATAATAATAATAATAATAATAATGATTATGATGATAATGATAATAATAATAATGATGAGAAGAAGAAGAAGAAGAAGAAAACGCAAAGTAAAAGACAGTTTAGTTTAAGTTAAATTCACCACATATCTTTTATTGCGTTATTTAATTTATGACAAAGGTTTCGACCGTTGTATTCTCCAGGCTTCATTTCTTGTTTCTCGATCATAGTAACCTACAGCGAAATCCGAACTTAACCCTTTATTTAATCTATGAGTGTAGACTGTTCTCCTTCCACTTCCCATGTTACCTCTTTCTTATTTTTAGTATTGCGCGCCCTGTTTCCACTGAGTTTAGGTACGCAATGTCCGGTGCAGGGGTTTAAACCACAATTAATATTTCAATCCCAGAGGTGAGCAGTGTGTACTTGGACTCAGTGTAAAAAGAGTAATAACTGAACAGTAATAGAAATAAGAACTAGATATCTCTAGACATGGGCAGTGGAAAGAGTGCAGTCTACACCCGTAGATAAAATAAAGGGTTCTGTTCGAATTTCCCTGTAGGTTATCCTATTGGGAATACTTCCATTTTATTTACGATATCTTGACACATGGGCAGTGGAAAAAGAGCAGTCTACATCCGTAGATAAAAAAAAAAGGGTTGTGTTCGAATTTCCCTGTAGGTTATCCTATTGGGAACACTTCCATTTTATTTACGATATCTCGACACATAGGCAGTGGAAAGAGAGCAGTCTACACCCGTAGATAAAATAAAGGGTTCTGTTCGAATTTCCCTGTAGGTTATCCTATTGGGACCACTTCCATTTTATTTACGATATCTCGAGACATAGGCAGTGGAAAGAGAGCAGTCTACACCCGGAGATAAAATAAAGGGTTCTGTTCGAATTTCCCTGTAGGTTATCCTATTGGGACCACTTCCATTTTATTTACGATATCTCGAGACATGGGCAGTGGAAAGAGAGCAGTCTACACCCGTAGATAAAATAAAGGGTTCTGTTCGAATTTCCCTGTAGGTTATCCTATTGGGAATACTTCCATTTTATTTACGATATCTCGACACATAGGCAGTGGAAAGAGAACAGTCTACAGCCGTAGATAAAATAAAGGGTTCTGTTCGAATTTCCCTGTAGGTTATCCTATTGGGAACACTTCCATTTTATTTACGATATCTCGAGACATGGGCAGTGGAAAGAGAGCAGTCTACACCCGTAGATAAAATAAAGGGTTCTGTTCGAATTTCCCTGTAGGTTATCCTATTGGGAACACTTCCATTTTATTTGCCTCAATGTTTCATCTTCCTTGTATTTTACTGATGTCTTCCATCTCCAACATCACTACCTTTTTAGGGTCGTTACAACAGCCACTTTCTTTAAATCTTTATCATAATCGCTGTCCTCTGATTGATTCTTATCAGCATTGTCAACGTTTGAATCTTTACTGTTGTTCGCCTTATTTATTTACATTGTTAACTCTCGGAATAATTTCCTTATCTTTGTAAGTAATTTGACAATAATAATAACTAATTTGACCACGTTTCAGCCGTTGCGTCCGGCATTTTTCAGGTGTTTGTCGATCAAGTAACACTTCTCGGTAACCACAAGTACCCAGTCTTCCAAATATTTAATCACTGATCATTAAATTTTTCTTCGTTTGGCTTCACTTATTTCTTATCATCAAAAGCATCTACATATATTTTCCCGCTTTCATCGTATTTGACTGTGATTTTAATGGACATTGGTGATGGCATTATGAAGTTTTGGTCAACAATTTGACATTTTTGTTTTCTAATCTATTGATATGAATTCTATTTCTAAAGTTGAATTGTAATTTTGTTTTTTATCCTGTGACCCGTAGGGTCACCATGTGTACTATAGACCCAGTAGAAGTAATGTTTCCTGGGCAAGATAGCCAGGTTTTGAATTCAAACTTTTCCTCAGTGAATGTAATGGATCCGACTGGAATTCGAACCCGGCTCTCTGATTCTTCCATTCGAGCCGGTATCCATTACTCCACCGTGAATTGTAATAATGGATAGTTAATATAAATTCTAATATTAATACTGTGTGATAATATATGTTATATATTAATTGTCATATAATTAATATTATAATATTTTTTTAATACTATAATATTATTAATACATATCATATAAATATAATCCATGTTCATCCAATTATAATTAAACAATTACAAACTAATTATTGTAAATATTAGTAAATTATTTCATTGTATTCATTCGATATATAAAATTATTTTAAAATATTGTAAAAATTATTGTAAAAATGTTTAATTATTATAAACAATTATATATAAAATTGGGTTATAATTAAATATAAAAAATATAATTAAACAATTATAAACTAATTATTATAAATATTAGTAAACAATTTCATTGTATTTATTCGATATACAAAATTATTTAAAATATTGTAAAAATTATTGTAAAAATTGTAATTATTATAAACAATTATAAATAAAATTCGGTTATAATTAACTATAAGAAATATAATTAATCAATTATCATATATTAATTGTGCTTGTCTCACCTTTCGTTACTTTGCATGACCGTTACGCCTTGCCTCACAAATAATAAACAATTTCGTTTTGATCGCGTGAGAAAAAAAGATATATCAGAGACAATACATGGTTTCAATGTTTAATATCTACTGCTGATAACTAATACATAATAGGCTATTCTGTTTTGACAATATGAGAAGACAAAATAAATCAAAAACGTTACTTGGTTCCAGTGAAAAAGATGAAAGAAAGAAGGAGAGACAGACGTATGTAACATCTTTTTCCATGAAATGGAAAAAAACGTTGCCAATTCCAAATCTTTTCATTTGTACCCCCTTACTTCTTAAAATAATGACCAACATTCATATTTATAATTCTTTTTGCAATATTTGTTAAGCTCAAATATTTAACGATGCGATAGGGGAATTTCTACGGATAATGTATTGTCGTAAATCTCCCCATGAGCTTATGCAATCATTAACAGAAGAATTAAGATTCATCAGAATTTTCAAATAGGAAAATTGTGGAAATTTCACGAGTTAAAACTAGTAAATCTAAATTGCATAAGAATATAAATAATAGCATATATTAATATAGTTTCTAATAAGGTTGAATTCTAATAATATTATATAATATAAACAATACCATTCTAAAGTCCTAATTTATTGGTCTGAATCATCAAGAATTTTTATTTATATTTAATAACAATCCATTTTGTCCTTTTTACTAAGATTGTATGGAAACAAAACACCCAGTTTTCAGAAATTCCCATACTCCTTTAATGTCGTCATGTGCTAGATTGTGATAGGTATCACATCTTTGATATAGTAATTTGCCGTGAATTTTTTTAATCATTCCACGCGAAGCAAAGCGGGAAGGTCACTAGTACGCAAGGGTTTACAAGAAGTTAAAGTGAGAGAAAAGACGGGGTATGGAAAAGATTGACGATAGGACAAAAGATGAAAGGGGTTCAAGAAGATAGATGGCGATTGATGTTGCACTTAATTCTTTGAAGGTTGTTGTGATCAGAGAAGTAAGTAAACGGAAGAGAGTTCCACAGGCGGGAAGTGCAAGCAAAGAGACTTTTGGAATAGAAGTAGCGGTTGCATTTAGCTATTTTCACAGTAAAAGGGTTGGACCTAGATGCCAATCTAGTAGCAGGCTTAAATTCATGTACTCGGGGCATCAGGAAAAAATGCTCATCAGAGCAGTTGCCATGAAAATATTTGTTAAAAAACTAGAGGGAAGCTACTGCACGTCGGTGAGAAAGTAATTGAAGTCGAGATGCTAAGTCAGGATCGATTACATTACACATCCTTCTTTGGATTTTTTCAAGAATCTCGAGATAAATAGCAGAAGAACCAGACTATATATGATTACAGTATTCAATGCAAAGACGAATGGCAGATTTATATATGTGCAAGATGGACTCTGATGATAAACTGTTCTAGCACGACACAGTGACCCAAATTTCCTTGCAGCAGATGCAGCTATTGATTCAATGTAGTCGTTCAACTAAGTCAATTAAAAACATTAACCCAAGAAAGCACAGTGTGTTGGTTTACAGGAGTCTAGCGTCAGCCATGATAATGGCAGGCAGAAAAGTCTGTGGTGATTAAATGTGGGCAGTTTTGTTTGCTTTCCATTGATGACTTTAAAGTTTCATCATCAACGTCTAATGAACGTTCTCGCGTAGTTTCGTCTTGCAACAAACTTTCTCCAGAACAGAACTTTTTAAAGCATTCATTCCTGCCGCTCAGTTATGAACTCTTGACCAGAAACATTACCTATTTTTTCTTCGATGTCTTCACAGCGACATTCCATTGATTAAACTTTCCTAATATAATGTGAAGTGCACTTAGACTCTTTTTAATAGTGTGGTTAAGAAATGTATTCTTCAATCCAC